ACCCCTGCCCCAACCCAGCCCCCCACCCCCACCATACTCTAGCGGTAGTCCAACAACCCAGCCCCCCGCTCCTGCCCCCAAACATTCTCCTTGTTTTCATTACTTTTATTACTATTTTAGCACTCTTATGTGATTTGATTGCTATTTTTGCCTTACCGTGGCTTCTTGCGTCTCATTCTAGTGTGTGTGTTAAGGTGTTGCTTTGATTGCTAACTACTTGTGCTACTACCGTACTCTTTTATTGTTATTTGTATTGTTGCTCTTTCCTCCCTTAGCGGTGGTTTGTAACTACTTTTATTGTGTTAGTAGTCTCGTCTCTGCTTTGCTTTTTGGTGCTAGTGTGTAGGTGTAGTGGCGTGGGTTAGCAATGTAGCTCTAAGGTCATATCCCGGGGTTGGGACGGGTGTGGGAGGTTCACGGGGGGGTAAGGTAGTGTCCCATGTGCGTTTCGGCTCATGGAACATAGGGACCCTTACAGGTAAGTCAATTGAGTTGGTGCAAGTTCTCAAGAGGAAAAGGATTCAGGTGGCGTGCTTGCAGGAAACCAGGTGGGTGGGCACTAAGGCACGAGAGGTTGATGGTTTCAAACTATGGTATTCAGGTTCAGCTAGGGGAAGGAATGGAGTCGGCATTCTGGTGGCACCGAAGCTGCGGGAGTTTGTGGTGGAGGTGAAGAGGATTAGCGATCGTCTGATGTTTATTAAGTTGGTTTTGGGTGGGTGTGCGATCAATGTCGTGAGTGCTTACGCCCCGCATGTTGGCCTGGCAGACGAAGTAAAGAGGGAGTTTTGGGACGCCTTGGATAGGGTGGTTGTTGGTTTTCCATTGACTGAGAAAGTCGTCATTGGAGGCGACTTCAATGGCCATATTGGAGAATCGGCCGATGGCTTTGAGGACGTGCACGGTGGTTTTGGCTTTGGCAGCAGGTACCCAGCGGGAGTTTCACTCTTGAGTTTGCCAGAGCGAGTGATATGGTGGTTGCTAACTCTTGTTTCCCTAAACGAGACGACCATTTGGCTACATTTGTAAGTGGAGTGGGGACAACACAGATCGACTATCTTCTCCTGCGCAGGTGTGGTCGGGTGCTCTGCAGGGATGCTAAAGTAATTCCGAGTGAAAACGTCACTACCCAACACAAGCTTCTCGTGATGGATGTTATGATCAGGTGGGAGAAACATAGGAGAGCTTCGAGTGACAACACACAAATTCGGTGGAGGAGACTTAGTGTGGAGAATATCGCTGAGTTGACCAGGCGAGTGCGGGAGAAAGGTGCGTGGGAATCGACCGGAGAGGCTGCTGATATGTGGGTGAGGACTGCTAACTGCATAAGGGAAACAGCCAGGGAAGTGTTAGGTGTGAGGGAAGTGTTAGGTGTGAGCTCTGGCTCTGGGAGTAGGCGTCAGGGTGATTGGTGGTGGAGCAATTCAGTCCGAAGTAAGGTGGAAGCTAAGAAGGTGGCGTATTTGAGGTACATGGGCTGCAATGTTGAGGAAGATAGAGCGGCGTTACGAGTGGAGTACAAGAAAGCACGTAAAGAAGCTAAGTTAGAGGTAACGAGGGCAAAGAATGCCGCTTTTGAACGCCTCTACAAGGATATTGAGGAGAGAGGCAGTGTTAATCCACTGTTCCGGCTTGCTAAGGTGCGTGAGAGGAAGGCCCGAGATCTAGATCACGTGAAATGCGTAAAGGGCGGCGATGGTAGAGTGTTAGTTGAGACTGCCAAGGTGGCTAAGCGCTGGGGGGAGTACTTTAGTGAACTCTTAAATGCCGGAGGAGACCAGAGGCTAGTTCTTGGTGAGTTGGGACAGCCCGGGGCGTCTCGTGTGTATTGCCGGCGCATTTGCCTGGAAGAGGTGGTTCGGGCTCTTCGCGGGATGCGTAGTGGGAGAGCTTTGGGACCAGATGAGATTCCGGTGGAGTTTTGGAAGCATGCGGGTCGTGGTGCGTGGGTTTGGTTAACCAAACTCTTCAATGTTATCCTCTAGACAGCTAGGATGCCTGATGAGTGGAGGGAGAGTCTCTTGGTCCCTCTGTTTAAAGGCAAAGGTGACATTCAAAGCTGCGAGAATTACAGAGGCATCAAACTGCTTAGCCACACCATGAAGGTTTGGGAGCGAATCATTGAGTGTAGGGTGCGGAAAGGGGTTTGCATCTCTGAGAACCAATTTGGTTTCATGCCTGGCAGATCGACTACAGAGGCCATTCATCTCGTGAGGAGGTTAATGGAAGAGTATAGGGCTAGGAAGAAGGACCTTCATATGGTGTTTATTGACCTTGAGAAGGCGTATGATAGGGTGCCTAGGGAGGTCTTATGGAGGTGCCTTGAGGCGAGAGGAGTTCCCATCGTGTACACTCGTGCGATCAAGGATATGTACGATGGGGCTATGACCAAGGTAAGGACTTCCGGGGGCGACTCAGATTCTTTCTCGGTAGGGATGGGGTTGCACCAGGGGTCTGCCCTTAGCCCTTTTTTGTTTGCCTTGGTGATGCACGTCCTAACTCAAGGTGTTCAAGACGGGGTCCCATGGTGCATGCTTTTCGCGGATGATATTGTGCTTATCGACGACACACGTGAGAGACTAAACGATAAGTTGGAATTATGGCGCCTTGCCCTTGAAACTAAAGGATTCAGAATAAGTAGGAACAAGACTGAATACATGGAGTGTCGTTTCAGCGGCCGGGATACAGAACCAGAGGTGGAAGTCAGGATTGACTCGCACCTAGTACCTAAGGTAGACAGGTTTCGATATCTTGGCTCGGTAATCCAGGCGGATGGGGAGTTAGATGCAGATGTTGGACATCGTGTTGGAGTGGCTTGGGCCAAATGGCGGTTAGCTTCAGGGGTGTTGTGTGATCCGAAGATTTCGCCTAGAATGAAAGGTAAGTTCTATTGATCCGTAGTCAGACCTGCTATGTTATATGGGGCAGAGTGTTGGGCGGTTAAGAAGACTCATGTGCGTCGTCTACATGCGGCGGAGATTCGGATGTTACGATGGATGTGTGGGAAGACAAGGTTGGATAGGGTTTCGAACGAAGTTATCCGGCGTCAGGTAGGCATGGCACCGGTGGAAGATAAGTTGCGGGAAGCAAGGTTGAGATGGTTTGGCCATGTGAGACGGCGGGATCCTGACGCCCCTGTACGGAGATGCGAGAGGATTACAGTTATCGGGGGAAGTAGGGGAAGGGGTAGACCTAGGAAGAATTGGAAGGAGGTGATTAGGCAGGATTTAGGACTTCTCGACCTGACTCAGGATATGGCCCTAGATAGGAACCTTTGGAAAACTAGAATTAGAGTAGCTGGATAGGAGCTCGGTGTTGTAGAGGTTGTTTTGTAGTGTGTTGTATTCGTTTGGAATCTTCTGCTATTGCTTGTACTTGTTGCTTGTACTTGGTTCTTTATCTCTGTTATACTGTGTTCCCTTCCATATTTTTGTGCAGGTGGAGCCGGGGGTCTCTTGGAAACAGCCTCCCTACTTCCGAGTAGGGGCAAGGTCTGCGTACACACACCCTCCCCAGACCCTACTGTTGTGGGATTCACCTGGGTTGTTGTTGTTGTTGCATGTTTGGTCATTTTTGGTTGCAAATTCCTTGTTCAAAACCCACTATTTTTGGTTCGGGTTTCAGGTTAAAAACGGGTTAGGTCAAATTTTGCTTGCTCAAGTTAAACTTAAACAGAGTTATTTTCATACAATAACGCTTTGTCATGTTCAAGAAAGTAGTGATCATGCAGGTCCTTTTATTTGAGCTTTTCTATCTTCAATCCTAAGGAAAACAAACTTTAAATGTCGTTGGTAGTTGGTACAGTTGTCCTTAGTTTTTTCAGATTTGTTTGCATGTTTGATACAATTGATACTTTGGAAGAAGCTTGAGGGTCTCAATGTTTCACCTTATGATCTTGTTTGTAATCGAGGACTATTGTAAATGCTAGATAGATTTCTACTTTCCTATGTTATTTATCTCCTAGATATGCTCACTGTTAATTAATCTGTAGTAGAAAAAAAGGTTATAGGCATTTGTTTCCATTAACCAAATTTGTTTAGCATAAGGCTTATATTTCAAATAGCCAATCAATGTTCAAAAAGGTAACCATACCTTTCAGATTTTTTCTATCACAGTTGTCAGTACTCAGTAGAGCAACATTGTCATACAAAAGTTACTTCTTTTCCCAATTCAGGAAGGGAGCAACTTACCGCATGCAGGGTTTGGAGAACCAACATGGCCAATTAAGGTGTCGCCATCATCCATAGAGCTAATAACACACGAAGTCTCAGTCATCCCATACCCTTCAGCAACTCTACAGCCAAAACATCTGCAAGTTTGAAGCATGTATATTACAAAGAGCGTATCAACGCACTCAGTGTAAGAAAATTTACTGTCTAATTGAGTTGAACTTATCATATTTTAGTGATAGAAGCACAATAGACTTACACTCTTAAGAACTCCATGACATCAGGGGATAATGGGGAGGCACCTGAAGTCATAAGACGAACCCGGCCTCCAAGTTTGTCCTTTATCTTATTGAATACTAATTTATCCCAAATGGGTGATGGCCTTTTACCTGAACAGAGTGAATGAGCAAATCTAAATTCAGCTTGTAAGTTGTAAGACAGCATGAATTAAGGAAACATTAATTCTTTATTTTACAACTTTATTTTACAGGTTCTATTAATAGGATCTACAACTTAGAATGTTACCAATCTTACAGGCTTCATTTGCCACTCAGGTGTTAAGCCGACCAACTGATTTGGGATTAAGGCTTGGTTGTTGTGGTTACAAGGATCTGCTACTAGGAAAGCTACATTGAAAGCTTTGTTGGCTGTTCATGCCCAAACAACTCTCTCTGAAGTAGAAAACCTTTAGGTTCCAGTGCCAAGGGAGGCAGAAGGACTGGGTTAATTTTAGGAGTCAGAGTAGAAAATGTCCCAAAAAATTGTAAACTTCATAGCAACACCAATAGCATGGTATTTTCACCATTATTGATTGTTCAGGGTTCTTATTGAAGCTTAAAGTCCAGGTAATTTTATTTCTTAAGGTTTGGTGGAGGTTTTTAGCTTTGCTAGAAAGATACATCTTGGCCGAACGTCAACCTGGACCCAATCTTGAGCTTTTGCTCTGGTCAGGAATGGCCTCGGTGCGGTGCTAGATGTCCTCTTCCTGGAGTTGTGTCTCCATTGTGTTGATTTACACTTTCCGCCACACTATCTTATTTGTGATCTTGACATAAAATGCACAAGATAGTTTTTGGCTCAATGGCTCCTCCTTAAAATGCCCGTGCTGGTTGGCGTAGGAAACTTCATGCAAAGGTACACTCATGAGATCACACCCTAGAGGTCTCCCAATCTTGACCCCAAAGTTCGAGGTTGTGGGGGCACAATATTCATAGGATGAGAAACTCATGACGAGGTTGACCCTATGGTTAGTTTCCCCTCTGCTTCAATGGATACACCTCTGATTCCAGACAGTTGTGTCCATAGCAGACGAAGTCCTTTGGCAAACACAACTTTTTTCAAGTATCCAAACACATAATGTTCATGCAGCTACTGTATCGACCAACATGCATATTGGAGAACCATATTGTTGATTTCTATCTTGATGATAAAGGCATCCCAATGATGACTTGGGCATGGGGACAGACCATCGCTAATGAAAAATATTGGCTCGCGCCTTAATTTCTTTCGGATAAGAGACTTCGTGACCTCACCAATAAATAGTTAGCAAGCCCAATCTTCCATAGAGACGGAGAGTCTCAACCGGAACTACTACCATGGATGAAGTGGACTTAATGGTGGTTCTCCCATCTCAACCCTTCCAAGATGAGTCACGCCGTACTTGGGATTTGTTTCGCCAGTTTCAGCCACACTTAGTATATTGTGAGTCCTTTTTACTTAACCGGTGGAATGACCCCTCTGAACCAACTAATCGATCTCTTGTTTGAGAGTAACACACCCATTCGTGTCATGACTGGGCTGGCAACACTCGTCAGAGCCCAAGGCAAGGTATGACATTCAGGTAGTCCCAGCTGCTCAGTGACATCCAAGATGAGGCTCATTGGATGAGTGAGGGGAACCATGTTTATTGCCGGCACTAGATCGAGCCAAGATTGAAATCCTTTTTGTTTTTCTTCGACTTATTCGGTTGGTCTGATAAGTTCCCCAAGTCGGGCTTGGCAACCTCATCCTTCTTCATTGCCTCTGCCACCAATCTTGAATTACTCCAATCCTCACTAGGAAATACTACTTATAATACATCTTTAAATTTATATGAAGACTTTGCGAAGTAAGAAATGCAGTTGCAAATCTAGTAACCCTGGGTTTCACAAGGTCTGTCATTTGTCTTTTCCCTCATCGCACGGAGAAGCCTTCCATGATGATAGATAAAAGTAGTGACATGCCTAGCTCTTTCAATGGTAGGCTTAAAGTCGGGCAACATTCCAATATCTTCCAACGTGAGATCAATACACAACACAAGGTATCCAAAAGAGTGGAGGTATTCACCCTTGTAGCACTTTGCATGCCGCTTTGTTATTAGAGTCGTTACCTGGCACAATTTGAACAACTTTGTACTTAACGATTTTGTCAATTTCTTCTCAAGCTGGCTAGCAAAGTTGCATCCTGGGATTCACCCGATGCATCAGCTGACTCCAAGAAAAATGTGCCCTCTGGACGGTTCACAAGAAAATTTATCAAATGCGGATGTTTGGTATCGGTCCATGAATTTGCCATTAGTGTACAATGATCCTCATTCTAGGAAGCTTCATGTTTCCTCTAAGCTTTTCAGTCTCCTTTTTTGCTTTTTCAGGAAGGGGTACACGTAATTTATGCTAACAAAGAGATTTAAGTCCCGGTCCATAGCGTTTAATCTACTCAATCATAACTTCTTGAACTTGCTGCATTGAAAAGGATATTGCTCTAAAATAAAAAAACAATATGCATAAGTGCCCTTTCTTTATCTTCCTTACTCTGGGTTGAGTGATCAATGATTGACAAACGGTCCCTTTACTATGTCTTTCAACCACAACTTCTTCAGGAGTTTCCCTTAGCATCGAAACAACCGACTTTTGTTTGGGAACCTTTGATTGAGGGTCAAAAAAATCTAGAAATAAAAAATTTCCTTTTTGTTGACATCCTAGAACTTGGATGAGAGAATCTGTAGATGACGGTGGTAGTTGTTGTGTTGATATTTCTTCAATATTATCAACGTTTTCATCGTGATTATCACATGTGATAGGAGCCTTCAGTGCATTTCTTTGGAGATACGCTTGTGTCACCCTCATAATCTCTGTAGTTGTTTTGGAATGCAACCAGCCAACCACATCTCAATAGCTAGCAGCTGTTGCTTTAGCCTCTCTCTATCCCAGAATGCATTTGTTTGTTTCAAAGAGAACATTGAACTACATCTTTGTTAGCCAAGTTCGGGCAAAAACTATATTTCCATGCTGGGTCATTTGATATGGACTTTTGAGCCGGATCGTTAGAAGGATCATAATCTTGATTGCTCGATCTTTCTGCCATAAGTGCTCTCTGAACATATTTAAATACACATACCGTAAAAAATATTATAGGCACCAAAATATAATAGCACGGTACTAAATAAAAATTTAAAAAAACAGATTAATTTATAAATAGTACTCAAATCTATTTGAGTAATTGGATTTCGGTTTGCGTGGGTCAAAATCAGTACTTCAAAGTAATTTATAAATCAACTATCAGAAAGTAATATTTGAAGGAGGTCGTTTCCAGCTAAGGATAAAAACTGAAGGCTAGTGAAACATAAAAACTGAAGGCTAAACGTGAATCTGTGAAGGGCTTTCAGTGAGACCATGTATCGGCAACGGCAAGAGCAGAGTGTCGAGTCGATGTCATCATATGTTGCGAGATCCTCAATCAGGGATGGCAAGCGCAGCGTCTAGTCTCAACTGTCAAATGTCACATGCGTTGATTGGATTCTTATATCTGAAGTCTGAACATCTCTCTGCTAAAGGTGAGTTGCGTTATATTTAGTTGGCAATGGTTTGGGTGAGTCATGTTCTATTTAAAAAAAGCTTTCGACTTCAAAGTCGTCCTTTTGGAAAACGACTGGATGCCCAGGTGTCCCTAAGGCAACATGTTGTCGCCTAGGCAACATTGTAAAAACTATGACTTTGAGATAGATATAATGAAAGTAATTCAGCAAGACAACAACTATAACTCAAAGAGCAGAAGATGATAATAACACACACATACAGACAATACTCTGTAGTAGAGTAAGCATAAAATGTCTTCGGCATAAAGGATGAAGGTAAAAGTGAACACGCATTCACATACAATTACTAGCATATTAATCCCTCTGTTCTAATGAACATTGCCAAATTTGACTTGGCAGGGAAATTACGAAAAATGAAAACGATGTTTTGAAACTTATTTATAAGAGAGAATATGAACCATAAATTTCTTTCTTTCTAAGAAAATTGGCAAATGTTTTTGGGACGGACAAAAGAAAAGTTGGCAAAGGTTTTTGGGGTAGAACGAGTAGCTTCTAGTTGAAGTTGAATTTGTCATTCCAATATAATTGAGCATATAATATGCAAAAATGTCAGGTATTCATGTCCTGAGCGATATCCATCATCAAAATACTTCTATGTATAAGTGTATAACACACCAAGAAGTATTCTGTCTAACCATGAAGGAAAAGGTGAGGTGTATGTGTTTAAGCATAGATGTAAATCGCCAATAACAGCTAATATTAGCTAAGGAGGACATCATTCCATATATTTCACCTCACATGATACTATAGAATTGGGTTCAAGTTTCAACAACTAAAAACTGGCTCACATTTTCATAAACTAAGTACATGAAAGACAAAAGGCAAAGCATACTAAATGGCAAACAAGAAAAAGTTCACCTTTTATGACAGAAAAAGATTGACATCAGCAGTATCTCAAACTCAATACTTGGAAATGTTTCCTGAACTCGCCGGTCACAAAGTTGGGATGTGGCTCTTTGACCAGTGTAGACAAAATAATTGATATGTGACAATCAATTGGGTAGGAACTATTGCCCTACTGGCTACTGCTAGCATAACAACTATATATGGAACATACTGACAAAGAGAAAAGCAATGCAATAAGCAGGATTACTCACTATTTATGATTGCTTGCTTTTTGGAGTTGTAGGCAGCATTAAATAATCTTTCCCTTAGTGGACCAGAAGTCTTCACAGCATGAGTGATCCTATGGACAGCATATCAGACCTATTTTAGAGAACATTTTAGAGTGATGCATACAAAGTTACATACCATCGATTCACCACCATTACCCGTCATATATTCTATTGTAAAGGCGAGGGACACTGCTAAATATGGTAGGTCTCAGAACACCCATATCTTCCATCAGTTTTAGATTGTCCTGCAAATTAACATATTCAGGTGGTGTTGTAACTCTTTTTTCTTATTACATGTTCTTATTTTAATCTGACCAGACCAGACTAGAACAGAAAGATTCAATCAGCCAGATGAAGAATACTTCTTGGACAACAAAATTACACAAGATAAAAACCTTTAGACCAAAACAGAACGATTAAGCCCATAAACATTTCAGACCAGATCCTAGGTCATATCCAATTTTCAGGTGAAGAGAATCAAGTCCTTAAGCGTGAACAACTGGTTTTGAACAATACACATCATGCATTGATTAATTAAGCTTTCAACTAACAGAAATATCATGACACCTGCAGCCAGGTTTAGGTTCCTGTAATGGCAAGACAATTACTTCTGTAATGATCACAACAGCACAGAGAGCTGTATGAAAGATAACAAAGGTGGCAGACAAATCAGACCATCCATTTATAGGTGCCTATGTTCAGGGAAAGCAATTTTATTAATAATATCTGAAACAATGGATTTGACTCACCCCTTGATAGAAGCCAACAGCAACACCAAAATATGCTGATGCAATCTGGTTAGCTCGTTCATAGATATGCGCCAGAGGAAGATAAGATATGTATCTGTTAAGAGGGGAAAAGTCTAATAGACACCTAAGCCAAAAATGCAAACACGAATGTACTGGAAAGGGATTTAGTCTTTTTATTTAACTATAAACTTACATGTCTGAAGGATAGAACTGGGTTGCAAGGGTCGACCCTGCGACACTTGCTATCAAGTTTGCATGTGATAATACAACACCCTGTATGAATCAAATCATTTAATCAATAAAGTAATGTATGCTTGCAGTTTGCAAGACAGTTGAAGAGAAAGCCCAAGAGGGGTCATAAAACTTCATTCATAAGTTGAACCTTTGGTGTTCCTGTTGTACCACTCGTGTAGCATATGGTAGCAATGTCTTCAGGCTTCGGGGGGTAAAATGGCTGAATATTGCTCCGACCCTAGGAAGTGCAAGACACCGCCAGTCATGTTAAGTCATTGGTCCATAGCAGAGAAGCTAAAAGATTGTAGTTTCTATTGCTTTGGCTAAGACTTTGCTTTGGCTAAGACTTATATGCATAGGCTAACAGATGTCAATAAATCATCGCAAAAGAATATGATCTCTAATCATAGACAAAAACGCCTAGATGTGATACACTTGCTCATTTTAGAAAAAATTCATCTTCCATTAATTTGTTGAAACTAGTTTTCCTCCTTCGTTGTCGAATAGTAATTCAATAATTTGCTAACATCTGCAAAGCTTCTTCAACATCTCCATCATCATTCACTGCCTTAAATCCAGTAATGTTTGGGTTGGTGACATGAAAGATAGAGTATCAATTACTTGTCAAAATTAGCCAACTCCAAATTCATGCAAAAAATTGTAGCAAAGCTTTACACAATGCTCATTCATGACACATCCTTCTTGAAAATGAAAAAAAATTGTTCGTAAATCGTCTGGATAAAAAATTATACAGAGTACATCCGTAAATCGTAACTATAAGACTGTAAACAACTCTAAAGTTTGTTTTATCGATTCTCTTAATCATTGAACCAAAATGAATGATTTATCCAATTTCAGCTTCCATTCACATCATCAAGACTCAAAAACACATATTCGAATTCTAAGTCAATCCGAAACTAGCATGATCAAAATTTAATCCGATGCGAAACTTACCCACCTCAAAATTGACGCAAAAACCCCATTGAAATTTGACCTGATCTTACTCTTACCTTACCCAACTCTTATCTGACCTAAAGTTGACCCAAAAACCTTAATCAAAACATACCCAACCGACATTGATCCAAATCAGCATTGACCCGACCCACGCCCAAACTAAGCCAACTACTTCACTCGAACTTGACCCAAGTCACCCAACCCAAACTTAACATAATCCAAACCCAAACCCAAACCAAAGTACATTGAGTCGATGTAAACCCAAACCAAACTTAATTTGATTCATACTCGAATCTGACCCGAAAAGTGTTAGCCAAATGTCCCCCTACCCAAAGTACACCCAACCCGAACCTGATCCTGTTAGACAGGATCGGATCAAACTCATCAAAGCAAAACAGAGTATTTTATTGTTGTGAACTTGTACAAGATTATTTGTGTTCTTGAATATATATAGAGAACAAACTAACACAACTTTTAAACACCAAGATACCTATTATCGACCTAACACACCTATTATTATTAGAAACTATCCATAACTGCTTTTAGAAACTACCCAACTGTTTTTTTATTAATTAAATATGTAAAACACACTAAACGACACCATACTAACTGACCCAAACATTGAGTCATTACCCATTCGGTTATACGCGAACAAACCCGATTAAATCTAACAATCACGCCCCTAATCGTTGTTTGTTCACACCAATCTTCACAGCAATGCTGGTTCATCATCATCTAGAACTAAATTTGCAATGTCTTCCTTTTGATCCCATTTTGGACATTCGTTCACAAGACGCCCAAGCTCATTGCACTTGTAACACCTAATGTGATTGTTATCCCGCTGAAACCGACCACCATCTTGACCGACCCCCGACCTATACCTCAGCCACGTCCAAAAGTCTTCTCGGTTTGAGCTCAAGCAACCACAATGCTCACATTTGTCCTCCTTAACCTTCTCTTTTCCATCAGTCCATCACCTTTAATCAATAGTAGTTTACCATGTGTATCTCCTTCCTTAGTTGGCTTTTTTATGTGTTCCTCAAATGCTTTCAATCTTCCAACCGCTTCATGAAACGGCATTGTGTTAATGTCGGCAAACTGTTCAATTGCAGCAACGATCTGTATGAACTTTCCGGGTACAGAACCCAAAAGCTTTCAAACCAATCTTTTGTCTTCAAACGCAGACCCTAGGTTGCTTGCTTGTGTTGCAAGTTGACTAATTTTACCAGCAAAATCATCAAGTGACTCATTGTTCTTCATCTTTAGAGATTCAAAATCAGATTTGAGTGTCTATAACCGCGCCTCTTTAACCTTGTCAACACCAACAAAGCGAGTCTTCAGAGCATCCCAAATTTCTTTAGATTAGGTAAACTGAGCAACTTGTAGCACGATTTATTCACATGCTATCGCCATATTGTTCTTCTTTGGATCGATTTTTGTTCCAGGTTCGATCACCTCCCAAATCCCATTAACATTAAAAATCGTTTTGATCTTCACGACCCAAACAGTGTAGTTTGTAGCAGTTAGAACTGGAACCTTAAAAGATAGTGAACTATTCTCTCTTGTAGTCACAATCTGTGTGTTTCGATTGTCTTCCATTGCACGACTTTAATTCCTTTGACAATTTCCACAAAATTCTTAGACTTCGATTCCTTCCCGGGTCGTAAGCCACCTGCAATCGACCATCACCCAGAAAACAAGCCCTTGCTTTTCCGTCTTCCAAGCCGCTAAACGAAAGCTACCCCGCTGATTCGTTTTTCCCGTGCTTTTGGTTGGAATACTTCTGCCCAAGAAAAAAACTAGCAACTTGATGTTTTTTTCCTAGGCAAGGAAGAAATCTGGTCAAAGATTTTTGATCTATTGTCGAGGAAGTTGAAAATTGAAATGCTCTGTATTACGAGTGTAGATCGCACAACCCCTAATCGCAATTTAGACCGCTATGATACCAATTGTTAGACAGGATCGGATCAAAGCAAAACAGAGTATTTTATTGTTGTGAACTTGTATAGGATTCTGTGTTCTTGAATATATATAGAGAACAAACTGACACAACTTTTACAAACCAACATACCTATTATAGACCAACACACCTATTATTATTAGAAACTATCCCTAACTGCTTTTAAAAACTACCCAACTATTTTTTTAATTAATTAAATATGTAAAACACACTAAAGTGACTAAACGACACCATACTAACTGACCCAAACATTAACTCATTACCCATTCGGTTATATGTGAACAAACCCGATTAAATCTAACAGAACCAAATGACCAATTTTCCGTGTCTAGTCATGAGCACTGTAATAGTCTTAAAAAATTTTGAAGTTCTAAGCCATGAGTTTTATATCAAAAAAATTGTTTTATCATTATATGTTCATATGATTAACATGGTAGCAAGCATGACACTTGACTTACAACATCTACAACGCTTTCAAGCTTAAAAAATTGACCCATTGCATCCAAGTTTAATGCTCTTAATCAATTCCAAGGAACACTGATGCAATTACGATAGGCATCTATGGGGGCGGAAACTTATTTAACTCGACTTATAAAAGCTACAAAAAAAAAGTCAATGATAGTTTCAAATTTTAACTTTCCAACTAATGTCAAAAGCATAGTGATTTTAATGAGCATGTCAATGTGCTCCATAAGGAACTACGTAGCACACTGCTGGTGTCTGAAAAGAGCCACCTCATTTAGGTGGAGTCCATTTCTATGAGGTGGTTGCATCATGCTCACACACTTTATAAGCATGCTCCTCATGGAGGATGGAGCACAATGTTATGCTCGTTAAAACGTTCATCCAAAGCATATTAATTATTAAGACATTAGTTTATTTCAAATGTCACTAACTATACCTGGGTAAGTAGCTTTGAATACGATAACAGCTTAATTCCAGTTGCCGAAGGAAGAGAAGGGAGATGTTCGTCTCTTCCTCCTACTACCTATGATAATGAGGGAAGCAAAAGTAATGCTTATTTCAATGATGTTAAGCTAGAAACATGTATAATATGGCAGACCAGAGTAAAAAGGATGCAAACCACATACCACTATGACGCGTACAGAAGGAATCTCCGACAAGAAGCTCAACAACTGAAATTTGTATTATGTATCACAATTTTAAACATTTATTTCAATATGAATATTATCAGTAAATAAAATCCATTGGCCTGTCCAGTATACTCATGCAAGTAGATTTGAAAAAAGCATAATGTTTCTTTTCAGTCATCTTTATTCCTTGTACTAAGTCTGCCCTAGCTTCCCCTGTAGTGCATACTCTGTATATCATAAGAAGTAACTGCATATATGAAACAGCGGGCTCTATTCAAAATATCTGTCAAGCCTGAGAGCCAGATGTATTAGCCCTTTCACCCTGTTCCATCCTTCATCTAAATTCTGAGACTCTTTGCAGCCCATAACATCACATGTCCCAATTGTATTCTATTTTTCGATAATTTCATTGCTGAGAAGAAATAAAAGCTTTCTGATATGAACTCTACAAACCATGGTAACATTCAATTTACAGTTAATTACACTTTGCTGAGAAGAATTAAAAGCTTTTTGATACGAGCTAAACGAACCTTTGTAACATTCAATTTACAATTAATTACAAGAAACTCAATAACTTCATAATATCATATACCTAACAGCATGTGGGGAGGGCCAACAAATTTATAAATAATAATAATACAAAAAATAATAAAGACGAACTCACGGTATTCATGGTATTGGGTACACAAAAGATGGCCTCTATACCAGCATGGTTGGCAATAAACTTAACAGCATCAGGACCTACATTTGTGAATTTCACAATGTTAATGCCCTTTAAAAGACAACATAAGATCTATTCAAATACACAATACACACCCAGAGTGTCATATAAGGGGACTGAAATATATGAATATGCTGAGCAGGCATGGTCCACAATGAGCCATTCTGGCCTATTTATGAAATAAATTCCCACACGAGCTTCCTGGTCAATTAGAAATCCAAAGTCCCAAATAATTATATCTAAGAAAATTAGGGCAATAAGGGTGAGTAAAAACAGAACCAAACATCAAAACAATAAGCGGCTATATTGGGAATTATGCTAGTAGGTTAGAAGATACAAACGTCCCTGCTAATGATGTGCACTAAATAGAAATTTAACCCCCCCCCCCCCCCAAAAAAATATATATGCATGCATATATATATATATATACACACACACACACACATATGTAGATATATATGATTATATATATATGTGTGTGTGTGTGTGTGTGTGTAACATGCCACTGTAATAATAGCTTACTGGTTCTAGTCCACAAAAACGAAGTCCAGAACCTATTGCTGACCTAGCTGATCCAGCTTCTCCATATGTCATCCATTTGTATCTTTATTAATGTGCAAAAAACAAGTCAGGCATAACCATTTTTACCAGAGTATTTTATAAATATCGATATGATTAATCAAACTTCTCAACCAATGGAAACTCACTCTTCAATGGTTCCATCTGCTCTAATACGTGTGCCCAAGTATTTGTAATCTTGAAAGGTTTCAACTGCATGCCTACAGAAAAGAATAATTACATGGAGAAGAAAATCAAGTCAGGTCCCTTGACAAGAGAAGTTGAATTGCTGCCACTGAAGGATTTGGAAAGTGGACAATGAAAAATGCTGTCAATCCAGATAAAACAGAGAATTTCATGCCAAAATAGACTGATAATGAAATAGTTACAAAGCATGAAAAGAATTTCTGACACAAAGTTGTCATGCAGTGTGCAGATATCAGGATGATCCCGGAATCTAGTTACAAGCTTCGTAGGGGAGCGTGCAGATCTGCAACCATGATTTAGTTTCATACCTTTAAATATGCAGAAGATAAGGAGTGAAACAAAAAGTACATTACTCCCTCTGTCCCTTTTTTATCTTCCCACGTTCCTTTTTTGAATGCCCCTAAATAATATTCTCATTTCCTTATAAAGAAAGAATTATATTGTTCACATTAATTCTCTCATCTGCACAAATTTCAACCACACAATTTCACCTATTGAAACTCTGTTTAAAAAGCAAATGGAAAGATTGAATATGGTCGGAGGGAGTACAATTTGTGTACAAGCATATCGTACCTGTATACATCCCATTTTCCAGTCTGCAATTTTTCAGGAAGAACTACACTGTACCTTTGATCTGACAAGAGTTTAAACACAAGCAATCAAAGGAGCCGAGAAATACTCAAAACAATCAAAAATAAAAACACACTCACAAAAATACTAAAAAGATGAAGAAAACTTAGTCACATGGGCTCTAAGGGGCTGTTTGGCAACTTTTGAATAGGTAAGTGCTGAACCAGTAAGAGGTCTGAACCATTAAGAGCTAGTATATTGCTTAACTATTCAGAGGCAAATGTCTGATCAATTCAGATAAGAAGTCTTAACCATTCAGACTCTGTATAATACTTAACCATTCAGAGGCAAATGTCTCAGACATCTGAACCATTAAGAGGCTGAAACAAACAGTCTGAACCATGAACCATTCAGACATCTGAACCATTAAGAGGCTGAAACAAACAGCCCCTAAGTAGTTTTCAAGTAACTCCTAGAAGAAAATAAAATCTCTCAAATGAAGAAGTATCTCCATGTTAGCATTTGCAGTCAACTTACACTGCCCCATAGTTATTAATGTTACTTAAAAATGGTACCAATGCCAGTGGATATTATTCCACTACTTGCTTTGAAAGACATCTTTATCATTACAAGACGTAATTATGCCCAATGAGTTTCTTATTGACCATTGATACGCTCCAACACCAAATGATGCGGATGTGTTTTTTGGACCGACATCGTTTAGTCAGTTTCACCTCTTGAGGCTTCCCGAACAAGGCAAACGATAGGTATTGAACATCTACGACCTATGCTAGTATAACATATTAACCCAAATGTTGGATTTCTTAACCTTCAAGTTGAATAGTATTTAACTTAATAATTAAAGAACTCTCAAAGTGTTTAAAACTCAGACTTACTTTCACTCAAAAGAAAACTTCTCTTACAACCCAAAGGATTAAATGCATCCATCAATACTTCATTCAAATTCCAGGTGTTTTCACAATGAAAGAAAAGAACGTATTTATAGGCTAAGCACACACTAAATTACAAACAATTAAAATAAAAATTACATATATCAAATTAAAATCTTATCAAATCTTAATCACACCTTCCTTGAAAGATCTTAAAGATATATGTCTTAAAATCATTAACTATTGCCATGCTCTATCAAATGAAGAATGCATTAAAATTCTCATCATATCACATGAAGATCGCATTAAAATTCTCATCAAGTCCCTTAATTGCCATTTAATGACAAGGGTAACTACCCTTAATACAATCTTCATAAAAACATTTATGAAAATACACTTCGACTTCATCCAACCATCCTAATTTTAAAACTCCAAAATATCCCAAAATATTACTCCTGTCCTTAAAAACCTTTCCACTTTCACTTTTCATCAGTCCTAAAAACACTTTGACTATTAATTAAAATCTCCTATTTACCCCTACTAATTATTAACAAACCTATCACATCATTTCTATTTACGATTAATCTACTCATCACACCCTATTCTACCCTACTATAAATCATGGGCAAAATTGGAAAGTAACACTCAAATTACACATTCCTTCAATCCCACCATTTCAAATGTGGAAAAGTTTTTTAGGACTGAGGCAGTATTTGTGAAGATTTGGGAAAGAAATAAATTAAATAATTAACTACTTAGAATTGCGCAAATGCCCGGAATCATAGTTAGTAATATACAGCATACGTAAAATACAGCTTACTATATGTTTTAAACATTTGAAAGGCACATACAAATACATACGTGTATTAAACATTTTCTAGACTTAAAATAGGTTTTATAACACGAATGTATATATTCACAAATATGTGAAGAATGACTCGTATTGATACATACTATACAATCAAATTCATTATAGAGTGAATAAAAATCAACACACTCACAATGAAATAAAATAAATTTGAATAATGAAAAGTATTATCTTCATGTAAACCACAAATAGAGTCGTAATCAAGTAAATGTTTGGAAATGAAAGTAAGATTACAAGTCTACTCGCCAACATTAAAATTATTATAAATACCAAAATTGACAAAAAAATCATCATCGTCAATATAAGTTACATGAAAATTCAGAAAGCCCGGCATAAGCCATAACATTATCAATACTGGGATCATTGATTGATTTTCTCCAGAATCTTGGTGTTTTCTCTGTATGTAGTTTTCATAACTAAATAACAAAAGAGAATGACGTAAGCTAGATTTCAAACTATTCTAAAAATTAAAGCTAGATCTCAAAAAAAAAACTAAAAGGTTATGATGATCATAGTTGTCATTTTTTACGACTTTCTTTCTTTTCTGTAGTTTCAAATTAAAATCTTTAAAATTCAAATCACAAAATTAAAATAAAATCAAAATTGTATTCTTAAACAAGTACTTTGTATAGATGGCTTGGTTGAAGCAAACTGGTATCTTAAAAGAAAGGAATTTGAGTCAAACTCAAAAATCAGCTAAGACATTCGCAACAATATTATTTCAGTTGTCTAGAAATATCTATGTTTCCTTTAGCTGAAACTTCTAAAGGTTCGCCAATTGGCAAAAATGAGAGAATTAGAGACAAAAAACCTATGGATGTCAATTAAAATTTTGCACCAAAGTTGACTATCAAGTTACCATTACTTGCACACATGTAATGTGTGTATATGTCAAACATCATTATTTCAACAAATCACAAGCATGTGATCAATGAAAGATGTGACCCCCCAACTTTTGTACATGCATCTTAGCATTCATGCTCGGGCCAACGCACTTCTAATTGGAGGAGAGGCAACTTTGGGGGGTGGGGATTTGAGCTAATAAACGAGACACATGCTTCTGGCACAAACACGAATGTGTTTAGTTGGATACCTCCTACAGGGAATTCAATTTTATAGGTCAATTTAAATGTGAAACATAAATAAGCAAAAAAAACAGAATAATATGAGTGAGTTTTTTATCACCTTTTCCTGTGTAAGCAGCGTCAACAAAATGAGTTATTTGGGTAAACACTAAACAGAAAATTAGACCATTACATCAACAGCATATACTAACAGTACCCAACCAAAAGGGTTGAAATCAATCCAAAAAGGTTCCGGAAAAAAGAAAAAAAGAGAAGGAAAAAAAGAGGTGATTCAACTCCGACACATTCAAGGCACCAGTAGGATCACTGAGCAAACGCATATATCTGTTGTGTCAATCGATTACCAACTCTAACCGTCCTCTAAGGAAAAGGACGCACGCCCTGCTCAATACATTAAATAACTGGAATCACAAAGCCCATATGCTAGAGTAGGCGTTATTTACCGTGAAAATATTCGCCGGAGGTGTGGTTCGAACGGATCAAGGAGCACGAATCCTCGTCGGCGGCCGAAACCAGGTGACCTTGAATAGCACTCAGCCGCCGCTCCGCCGCCGAATCCATGGAGTATTCCCTAGTATTTGCTGAAAGAAAATTCGAGTTTCAAAGATTTGCAGAAATAAAGTTTAGCTGTAGAACAAAGAAGCCTGTAGAGGGGCGAAAATGATGAGATGGAGAGTAAATTTGTGCGCATTAATTTTCTATCGGATTATTGTCCTTGATTGATCATTGTGATTTTTTTGGTTTTCAAGTTTCAATGAATTTGCAATAAAATAATGAGAAATGCTAGGGATACATGGGGTACCCCATTTTGTACACCATTCATCCTAGCTTTTTATTTATTTTTTTATTTTTAATTTTTTTTCTCTCTCTTGCTTTGTGTGGTGAAGATGGAGGGAGTACAAATAGGGTAACCCAAATGGTGTACCCCTAGCATTTTTGTAAAATAATTCTTGGATGAAATAATCGATTTCCAAAGGTGTACCCCAAATGTCCCCCACCCCCTCCTTGTCCACTAAAAAAGGCAAAAAAATTTAAAAAAAATAAATAAATAAAAATCAAATAAAAATGTGTGGAAGAAAAGAGGGTGGTGTACATTTGGGGTACACCTTTTGGTGTTTTGGGACCCCTAGCATTACTCTTCTTGGATTGATCGCTGTAAACATTATTAACCCAAAGTAGGATAGACGCATGTCGTTTGGGACTTTGGGTGGGGCTACCGGGCTGGTATGGGGTGAATCCAGCCAAAGGTAGTTGGGTTGTTCGAAAATTGAAAGACAATGCTCTTAATAATAATAATAACTACCATTCTGGTTCGAAAGAAATTTATGTCGATTTTGAATTATTTCAATAAAATTTATTTTTCGAAATAAAGAAAATATATTGCTCACATGATTTTTAATACTACAAATAAAAAAAATTAAAGTAAAATAAATAATATTTGTGAAACAGAATGTAGAGTTAACAATGTTTATTTTAATACCAAATTTTCTGAAAGACTTTAGGGTATACAACATTTTTGGTATAGATGCAAGGTTTTCCATTGTCATCTAGAATTAATATTTTTAATACTGTTTTTGTCTTCACTCGTGAAACAGCAAAATATAGTTGACCATGTGTGAACACTAACTTGGTTAAAAATAATCCCACAAATGACAATGTTTGACCTTGACTTTTGTTGATAGTCATAGCAAAACATGAGGCGATCGGAAATTGTCTTCTTTGGAACTTCAAGGGTAGTCCTGGATCAGATTGTATCAAATTCATTATAGGGATGTAAACTTTTTCCCCGACCCGATTTCCCGAAACCACAATTGCACCGATAACATTATATCGCAGATTTTGAACGATTAATCTTGTCTCATTACACAATCCAGATGTTTGGTCAATGTTTCTCAATAGCATAATCGGTACCCCTTTTTCAAGACTATTTTGTGATTTGGGATTCCCGGACATTTAATTTCGTTCAAAAACTCAAATGTTATCCAATCGCCAACAATACCTACATCTGCTTCTGCTTGGCACGAAGAATCAGAACTCAAGTACTCCTTTTCATCACCAGAAATGAGGGACATAACAAATTCATTTATCATTTCAACTACTTCGAGAGTTGGTGCCAATAGTGCTCTATCCTCAAATAAATTATAATTTTTCATTTTTTCAAACATAAGTCATTTCCCAATATAAGACTTAAACTTTTCTCATTTTTCATTTTTCAAATTTTTCATTATTCATTTTTCAAACTTTTTCCCAATATAATTTTTCAAATTTTTCATTTTTCATACAAGACTTAAACTTTTTATCCCTGAAATAACACTTAATAATGTTGAAAAGGAGAAATAATATCCTGTGACAGTGAACATTTATGTAAATAATAACTAATAGATAATGACTAAAAGTGCTACATTGGGAAATAAAAAACATATGTTGCTATTTAGAGAAAGTCATTGTGTTTTAGTGTTACTTAGGTAAATTCCTCTGACTATGAATATATCTATGGAGTATCAATTATTTCAGTTGAACACAGCTTAGTGCCATTTTGATAAATGAATTACGTGTTAAATATAAGTAAATTTTCTAATTTAAAAATTATATTTGAACTTTGAATTATTTACATTCATCATTCTGTATCAATGCCTAAATTTTTTTCCTCGCATGCATATCATTTTATTTTAAAATATGTACTCGCATTTTTTATATTCACCCATTTCATATCAAATTTATTGCAAAGTTTTTAATTTTTTTTAAATTTTTTTAAACATGAATATATTTTTACTCAACTTTTTTAATATTCGTCCATTGAATTGTTTAAAATATTCAATATGTATAAACTATTTTTTTCATAAAAATATAGAAAAATGAAATTAAAGAGTCATTGTTAGACATCATTTTATTCATATTGATGTAAAAATAAAATTGATAAAAAATAATCAGTGAGCTATATGCATGCCTAGATAAATCAACAATTATACATTTTAACTATCCATGATTTCTATGAAACCTTTGAACGATGTTTAATTTTTTTACGGATGCAGATTATAATTGATAAAATAACATGACTATAATTAAAAAAAAGTTCACATATTTTTATCTTTTCTTGGAGTGTTCATTTTCACATGTAGAATTTGTTAAATCCTTCTAAAATTGACATCTAATTTTAAATTTTGTATAAAACTTTATTTATTTAACATAAATTAATTTATCTATACTAACGATTTAGATATGAAGATAAGAAAATTTTTCAATGCTCATTAAAAAGCAACCATATAAATTTTAAATACAAAAATTCTGGTCACTAAAATATCTCGTTTGATTTAGTTATTTTAAAAAATTCAAAAATGTTATGTATCAAATCACCTTAAAACAAGAAAACAAAATTAAATATATTAAGATAAAACAATATTTAAAGTACGTACCTTTTCTATCATTTTTTGTTGAAGTATTCCTTTTCTCCTTTCTCTTGCATCTCTAGCTGATCTCGTCCATGTATCGTCAACTTGATTTTCCATAGCCCGAATTGAAATTGAAAAATAGGATGCTCCTACCACCAATCCTTTTCAAAACAAAAGGCTGAAGTTGAATTAACGATTCTCCGCTTATTTATTGCATAATTAATTCTAAATGCCTATGTATTGAAATGGAAAATGAAAATGGTTGATGGATGTCACATTTCAACTCATTATATATCTCTTTTTATAATAGGATTTTGACCGAAGTATATAAGAGTTTCCATAAATTTAGATATAAAAGTGAGCAATTTAACTCATTATCAGTTAGATATATAAGTAAGGAATTCAAAATGATATCGGGTCCATCCTAAATATAACGAATTCCTTACTAAAAATAAATGAATCCATAATAATATTATTGATTATCCAAGATACATAATTAACGATTGCCATATATAAGTAAAGAGATCCAAAATAATATTAAAATACTCCGTAAAATTTTGAGTAAATTTATAATTAGTCCTTTTTACTCCTTTATAATATTGCGGTTTGCATATTTAGTCCTTTATTATCAAATATTAATCTCGTAGTCCTTTTTATATGGATGTCTTTCTACAAACGGTCTTTATTTAGTTTTCTGTCATGTTGGTGTTAATTTAAAAGCTAAAAGTATAATTTGACATCAATCTTAGGTACAGTGACGTATTCTGATATTGGTTAGACAAATAACACAAAATAATGACTATGATTGTGAGCTAGGATTCCGACGAAAGACCACATCTGTAAACTATGGTTATAGTATAAAGCGACTGTAATTCACAAACGACGCTCATGAGCGGCATTTAGAATTGTATATGACAAGAAAGATATATTATCATTGTGAAATTACACTTTTAGCCCTGAAATTAACACCAACATGATAAAAAATAAAAAAAGGCTATTTATGGAAGTATACCCATATAAAAAAGGACCATCAGGTAATATTTGATAATAAATGACTAAACAGGGAAATCCTCTGTTAAAAAAGACTAATTGTGAAATTTATTCTAAATTTTTTTATATCCAGTCTTTTATTATTAAGTACTCCTTCCGTTTCTGATTATTTGTCCACTTTTGACTTTTTTTCAATCAATATTGAAAAACTTTGACCTCAAATTAAATAAAAATGATATTAGATATTGATAAAAAATAGCTTTATTAGATTTATCATATGAATTATTTTCAAAATATCATTTTATCTAATTAATATATAATATATATTTTATATAATTATAGCTCAAAGGTTGAAAATGATTGATTGAAAAAAATTAAAACTGGACAAATACTCAGGGACGGAGGTAGTATTACGTTTGTGATCTTTCTTTTATGATTACATTTCTACGAGTAGTCTTTTTTCTTCATACCATTTGTCATATATTAGTGTTAATTTAAGAGCTATTCAAATGTAATTTTACCCTCGCCACCCGGTTGGACCCTCCATACCCAGCTCCCATAATGGTATTTTTTCCTGGTAAAGGGGTCCCCCTTCAGAAGCTTTTACAGACTCTCCTTCAAGTCTGATGCGGTTGCCGGTTCGGTGTATTCCTGTTTTAGGAGGTGGTCGCTCCACCTCAAACCGGCCAAGGGAGTCACAGAGGGGGGGATTTTATAAAGACAAATTTTTTCTTTCATGACCGGTTGCTTTGTGGAAGGTCAGAAATGATTTTTCGATTGTTTCGCCCCTTAAAATAAACAAAACTGTCGCAACTCGGTTTCCTAGGACGAGCTTCAAACATATACAGAAAGAGACGTAGAGAGGGATCGATATGAAGATGGGTGCAGATATTTACGAAGGCATTAAGAAGCCGGTAAGCGTTGAGTATGATCTGCCTGGTAAGAATCTTGAAGTAGTGACACACCTCGACTAGGAGGGGGCGAAGAGAAAAAAGGATACCACCCTCTAAGGAAGTGATATTGAAACCTATCCTATCCTCCCGGTGAGGTTCAACAATGTTGTGCCAGTTCTCATCGTATTCGAGAACATAGCCCTCCGGGAGGTTCCTACGGGCTTTGTTTAAAGCAACTTTGGAAGCATGGGGATAAATGTCTAAGACATAAAAGGTGGGGAGAGGAGAGTAACTGGCTGCTTCCTACCTCTCCTCCCATTGCATCCAGGACTCATTATCTTTATCTGGGTCATAGGGACCCGGTTCATCATCAACTGGTTCGTCCCTCTCCATAAAAACTTGACCGGGTACTTGGTTGACTGGTTCGGGAGCAGAAGGTTGAGGAGCCAGCCGGGGCTCAAAGTCAGAGGAGTAATACTTGGTTGAAGAAGAGGAGGTTGGAGATTCCTCAAATGCGTAGGCCTCTGAGGGAGAAATGTTCTGACTATCGGAAGAAGACATGACCGGGAAAGAAAATGAAGAAAGGAAGGAGAGCTTACTTGACTCGGAGGGCTAAGAAGCTAAAGCTGGGAACTTGACTGGTAAAAGCTCTTAAAGGCGTACGCGAAACGTGAGAGAAGGAGAGGGATGGAGGCTCTTATATAGGCGAAGAAAAATTCGAAAATTAAATAGAGGGGCGACGTGGCACGTTCAGAATGCGCCACGTCAGGCGGCACCATCATTTCGCCTGGGAAGACGAAAGGGCGCAGTGATGGCTTTGATAAACGAGTGATGCGTGTCAAAGCCATTGCTTTTCAAATTCAAAATTCAAAATTTTTAAGCGGGAAAGGCCTGAAATTCGAATTTTGATGGGTGTATTCCACCCAGAACCGGTCAAAAAAGAGGTTCAAATATTCAACTGGTCAAGTTGATTATTCTTGAGTGAGAGACCTAAATCGCCAATAAAAGGATGCTGGCTTGACCAAAAAAGGTGACCGGTATACTTCAGATAGTATACCGGTCACACTACTTTATCACCTCATTCATTCCCCAATATCAGTAAATCCATCCCCTAGAAACCATCCGGTATGGTTTCTAGGGTTAGAAAGTGTCGACAAAAGAAGAATCCAAAAGGGTTTGGATTGTAGCGACCATGATCAATGGAGGATCATTGGAGATACTCGAGTAATTAGTCCAAGGCAGTACGCGACAAAGGAGCCACCTTCCTCACTAGGTGACAAGGCAGCTAGAGGACAAAGGTGGTCACCTCGCACCATCCAAGAACGTGTCATGAGCGGCGCCTTGTCTCCTTCTCCTATTATAAATACTGATGTAACCCTCGAAGGAAGGGATCCGATTTCTTCTCTCTAAAATTCCCGTGTAAAAGCTCCCGTGCATTCCACTATATTCTTAATATTAATTTTGCTACAAGTATTCCACCTATAGTCCTACCGATTACTTTGTGTGTTTTTACCTTTTACTTTATCGAATCTAGTAAATAATCCTAGACCCGGTCTAGTACTGTTTACCCGATTAGGTAATTTACACCATCACATATTTTGGTGCATTTTCAATATTTTATTCATACTTTAATTTTTTTTCCCTATTTTAAAATGGTGAAACAGTGATGCAAAAAGACATTGAGAGAGAATTATATGTACCGAAAAACTGGCATATGGTGAGAAAGTTGTGCCGCATTTTAAAGAAAGAAAAGATTATGAATGCAGTGTACACTTTCATTATTTTACATAACACGGTCTTGGAAGGCAACAAAAAATCAATATGCCAAAATTACGAAGATGTAGATGTACCCACTATAAAAATTACGGATGAGAACAGGAGATTTGATTTAGCATGTTTGGAACAATCGAACTATAGATAACTAGCGAGAGATGTAATTTTTTTATGTTGATTTTTTTAATTATATATATTTTTTTAGTTTTACTATATTGTAATTTTTTTTTATTTATTTTATCATTTTATGAGGAAGATAATGGAATTTGAAAAAATTACAATAAAAAATACTCATTATCTCATTATTTGGTCATCCCCATCACCCTATACCACATCACATATTTGGGTGAAAAGGGATGATAAAATCACTTTACACGTGACATTGTAATTTCTTTTTATCCCTCTTCATATTACAGTGTCTAATTTGTATTCGCCCGCTTTGCTTTTTTCTCTCTGTGGGAATTTATTCCTTATTTCTTCTAAGAGTAATGCTTGAGGTAACATACTAAGATGGACAAAGTATATATCCAAATATCCAATCACATTTTTTCAACCATGCTAGAAGTATCTTATGGAATATACCCTAAAGGGCATATCAAAGTTACGTACTAACACTTCACACTGACACAATCAACTAGTGTGATTAAAACATTTTACTACCTCCGTCCTTGAGTATTTGTCCAGTTTTGACTTTTTATGGTCAACTGTTTTCAATCTTTGACCTATAATTAAATAAAATATACTCCGTATATTGTAAATTAATTAGATAAAATAATATTTTGAAAATATTTGATATAATAAATCTAATAAATCATTTTTGTTTCAATACCTAATTTTATTTTTATTTAATTTGAGGTCAAAATTTATCAATTTTGACCAAAAAAATTAGAAGTGGACAAATACTCAAAGACGAAGGGAGTACGTTAATATTTTGTACATGTATGAATCATCACTTGCAGTGGATAATTTAAGGTACAATTTTTGGATAGAAATAACTTACCGAGTAATTGTTTTTGAGAAAAATGCATCGTTTACCCTCGAATTCTTTGAAAATTGCACGGTTTACCCCCGAACATTAAAAAGTGCACCAAATACCCCTGAATTCTTCTGTAATTGCATGCTTTACCCCTGAACAATAAAAATTGCACCAAATATCCCTAAACTTTTCGAAAATTGTATTGTTTACTCATGAACATTTAAATAAAGACGACAATTTTGGGGGAAGATACTTAGAAAATTCACAAGGGCCAGATGGATCATATTCGCAATTCTTGTGCGTGGAAGTAACACACTCCCTATCTAATAGTTTAGGACCAACGATATAACAGTTTAATTTGTTCAAGGATATTTGGTGCATTTTTTAGTATGCAGGGGTAAATCGTGCAATTTTCGAGGAGTTTGAGGGCAAACGGTGCAATTTTTATAATTCAGGGATAAAACATACAATTTCAAAAGAATACGGGGTAAACAATGCATTTTACTTAATTGTTTTTTCTTCAATCCTAGTTGGATGAACCTCAAGTACTGTTGACATTGATTTGAGAAAACGCTTCCGTGGCAAGTCTTCATCTGGCCGCCCCTACAAAGTCTACCCCAGTTCATCATCGTTATCTCTTCGCCGAAAAATTTACAGACGAAGCAATCATCCATCATCATCATCACCAGCCAGCAGATAGAGAGAGCACGGCGACACGTGTCGGCCCACATTCCCTTCGGGCCCGCCCCACATCCCACCTTCCGTCTTCAGCCTTCTCTTCTCCTGCATAAATAAGGCAATGTGGATCGGCTTCATCTGAAGTTCTATTTCAGTTTGATTTGAGGCGGAAAGCGATGGCGGCGATAGGGAAGACGGTGCTTGACAAAGGGTGGTTAGCGGCTAGATCCACTGAGGTCGACCTCACCGGAGAGCAGCTCACCACCGGCGATCCTCCCTCCGTCGCGGATCCCAGGCCCCCATGGATGGAAGCATCTGTTCCCGGAACGTAATTTCAATCTTAATTTTACTCTTAATTAACTTGAGCTATGCAGTTCCGTTGTAGAACTACATTTTCTATTTTACATTGAGGAATTGAATATAGTCGATCACTCGATCGGGTGAAATGAGGGAGAAGGAAGTTCATTTTCTGTGCTCATTAATTCATACTCTTACCTCACGTTTCAGTCGACTAATTAGTTGATTATTTTGTGTGATTAGTTTGAAGTGAAATTTGCATTAAATAATACTAAAACATAAGCCGTTTTTAAACTTAAATTTTTTTTATTCCCTAAATAATATTAATAATGTTTAGTAAGAGGAATAATGTCCAATGGTGGAGAAGAATGACTAATAAATACATCATGACCAATTCCTATACTGAGAAATATAGGTGTGCCTTAAGTTCAACACTTAAATATGTCTAAAAAAATTAATTAGACTATTTGCCTAAATTGCCCTGCCTCCTTCCATTTGACGATGGCGTGATCCCAGGGGTGACTGCCATCACGGCTTTGCCTCTCTTTTTATTTTTATTTTTTTTTAAAAAAATCTCAAACCAATCATAATAAATCACCCCTACACACCTCACCACTTCCATTCACACTCACCACACTAAACATATTTTTATCACTACACGTCTTACCTCTTCACACCCCGTCAAGTCCCACCATAAGGCATGACCTTAGAACATGGTTCTACTTATTTTCTCTTCTCTTCTCTTTTCTTTGTACTTATGATTGGCCCCTCTCTTTCCTCCACTTTCTTCTTTACCACGTGGTCCACATCTAACAAAAAGAATTTTTCCTTAAAAAAAAAGAATTTTTAGTGATATTTTCCCTCAAACTCTTTATAAAATGTGTGCTCTCCCTTCAAACTTCTAAAAGTGCATCATTTGTCCATATACTTTTAAAAAAAGTGCATGATTAGTCCTCATATCTGATTAAACTTCTACTCCAAAATAAGAGTGTCGTGTTTTTATTCAAAAATAGTACTACTGCATTGTGACAATGTGTCACTGTATATTCACATTCAACGGTGTCTTTTGGTATTGTAGGTTGGCATTATTGACATTATAGGTTCTATTTTGCCATAAAAAATGAAAGTTTTATTTTGTTATTCTTGCTGTGCTTTAGTAGTATTTTAGATTCTTTCCCCTTTTTTTTTCAAGTGTGTTAAAAACACGCTCTTATGGGGCAACTAGGACTTGATTTTAAGCAATATATAAGATGCTAGTTTTCTAAAATGTCCTTCACATGCATTGGCATTGATATTTAAGTCAAGTTATCTTCCATATTTGTTTTATCTTCTCCTGAGACCTAAGAATTTCTCTTGGTTGAGTACTGTTTTTAACCAAACTAAAAAAAGCTTCATCAATGGCGTCTTTTATATAGAGCTTGATGAAGATGTATTGATGAACTTGTTTTTTATCTTTGTTTTCAAGTTTAGTTAAAGGCGTTGCTCAACTAAGAGAAATTCTTACACTATGTTTGGTTCAAGGAATTTGAGAGGAAAAAGAAAAAAAAACGAGAAAGAAAACATTTTTCTTGTTTGGTTAGAGAGGAAAAGAAAAAAAGAGTGGAAGGAAAAGAAAATGAGAAAGCAAGATGTATTAAGAGGAAGGAAAACCAAATTCCTCCTCATTTTGGTGAGAAAAATAAAGGAAAACAGTTTTCTTTTCTTTTCTTTCATATTCTTTGAACCAAACATAGTGTTACGGTTTCAAGAGAGAATAATCTTTCCCCACCATCATCTTGTTCCTTATGTGATTCTATTTACAGTGTTCTGGGAACTCTACTGAAGAACCGACTAATACCAGATCCTTTCTATGGCCTGCAAAATGAGTCCATCTTGGATATTGCTGATTCAGGAAGGGAATACTATACCTTTTGGTTTTTCACAAGCTTTGAATGCAAACTGGTATGTTTTGAAAGCATACCTTTTGGATTTTGTTGGCTTTTTCTGCATGCTGTGTTGTTTTTTTAAATTTTTTTTTTTACCCGAGAAGGTGTTTAGCTGTTATTCTCATCAACCACCTCAGCATGTATTGCCTTGAAGCAGTTGATTTCTCCTATGGTTTCTGTGTTTGTTCTGTTTCCCTTCAAGCAAATAAGGGTGAACAATTTTTTGAATTTATTTCAGTCAAAAAATCAACATGTGGATCTAAATTTCCGGGCTATAAATTATTCTGCTGAAGTGTATTTGAATGGACACAAGGAGGTCCTGCCGAAGGGAATGTTTCGTAGACATTCAATCGATATTACTGATTTTCTGCACCCAGATGGTAAAAATCTGCTTGCTGTGATTGTTCACCCTCCTGATCATCCTGGAAAGATTCCTCCTGGAGGTGGGCAAGGTGGCGATCATGAGGTATACACTACTTCCATGGAAGACTAACAGTTATTATCCGGCACTTCGTTGTCTTTTTTTTAAGGATCTAATTATCCTTTGCAGAGGTATGCTTAAGGCAGGCCTCACATCTGTTGTGCTGATAGAGTAAACACTTTGTGAGATGTTTAAATAAAATTATACCAGAATTGATTTTTTATGCCCAAGTTAAAGCAATAACTGTTGTTTAAGCTCATGCTCGCAACTGCTGTGTTTGGATAGTACTAATGTATACCATCAACCTTTAACACAAGAAGCTTTATGTTATATTTTTGGCTCTTAAGAGTAATTTCCATAAGAACTAAGAAATCCATGTATGTCTTGACTCCATATATCGTACATCCACGCAAATGCTCATTTTCGAGTACCAAAATACTCATTTCACATATTTATTTATCTTACTCCGTAGTATTTATTCAACACTACATTATAAAATGTATATGTATGCTCATAAGCTCATTTGGGAACTACATAATACTCATTACATATAGATAGAATGTATATTTATGAGTAACACAATACTCATTTCATACATTTACATAATAATATTCGACTTGCATATGCGAAATGAGTGTTCTATTACTCGTAAATGAGTATTTTCCACGGATCTACGGGAAACACTGATACCGTACATGAGGAGGATATGGAACCAAGCGGCGACCCAGCACCCGTACGGCCAAGGAGGAACGTCGGGCCACCCCGACGATACTGAGATTATGTTTAATATTTTATTAATATTTTGTAACGTAGATTTTTACTAGGTGAGCGGTTTATAAGCTCCTTCGAGGGTTTCTTTTCGGTTCACCTCGATGCTTTTCTTGAACCGACAGGGTAGAAAATTAGATTAATTAGGAATGGGGAAACTCTATTTAAAGGGACCAACCCTTATCAATAATAATAAGCAACTTTTATTCCCCAAAAACCCTAATCTCCCCAGTTTTTCCCCTTCGTGGCTTTCTCAGCCGCGCAAGTCTTCTTCTCTTCCTCTCTGCAGCTTGATCTCGCGGAAGTCGAGTAACAACTGGTGCTTTCATTGACGTTCTCATGGCTTCATCTTCATCTGATAACAATTCTGTTTTGACGTTGGAGGATATCATGTCGGCCATTAACGACATACGAAAGGAGCTTCATGCTACGAAAGTTCGGGTCACCGAACTGTCCGCTACTCGTACGGAGGACCAAAGACAGCATGGCCGACAGCCGCACCAGGGTTGGCGCCCTCCTCCATCGCGCATGACTACGGGGACTACAGATCCGATACCTCGGATGCGAGTTGATGCGCCGCNTGGCGCAACGTGGGATGATTTTTTACTGGCCGTTCATCAACGTTTTGATCCCAGCTATTATGAGAATTATGTGGGTTTGCTTTCTAAACTCACCCAAACCGGATCGGTGATGGAATATCAGTCGTCGTTTGAAGCACTTCTTAATAAGGTAACCGGAGTACCCGAAGCAACCCTAGTCGCGATGTATGTTGCTGGGCTGAAACAGCCGATACAACGGGAGGTGAATCTACGGGGTCCAACAACCTTGGCCGCCACCTTTGCCTTGGCCAGGGAGGTTTCGGCCTGTCATCAGGAGTCCGTGGCATCTCTCCCTCGTCGTACATGGGCCACACGCTTCTCCCCTGGTCAGTCCTCATCACCATCATCAGCCGGCCTGCTGCCCACCCCGACCACAGCCGCACGGCCCTCCCCGTTTCCAGCCCGAACAGCGGATAAGGCAACCAACCCCCCACTCCCGGTTGTTCGTTTATCAGCGGCGGAAAAGGCTGAACGCAACAAAAAGGGTCTTTGTTGGTACTGTGACGAGAAGTGGATTCCGGGGCACAATTGTAAACACCGTTTTCTCGTCCTCATGGGTCCCGAAGACGACGAAGAAGAACCTGTACCGGCTGACCCTACACCATTGGATGGAGAGGCTTCTCTTATTACAGCCGATATTTCAAGCATCCATTCTCTCTCCGGCAGCCCTAGTCCCCGGGCTCTCAAATTGGCGGGGTCTGTCAACAATACTCCAGTGCAAGTGCTCCTCGACAGTGGTAGTACTCATAACTTCATCCACCCCAAAGTTGCGGAACACCTTGCCCTTGTACTCCAGCCCGTCACTCCATTTCGGGTCTATGTCGGCAACGGTGATTCGTTGCGCTGCGCTTACTCATGTCCGCAGACGCCTCTCCTCTTACAAGGTCACTTATTCCCCGTCGATCTTTATCTCTTAGAAGTGCATGGACCGGATATCGTCTTGGGTATTCAGTGGCTCCAAACCCTCGGTTGTGTTTCCCATGATTACGGCCGGATGACGATGGAATTTCTTTGGCAGGGGCAGACCGTCACGCTTCGTGGGGATCTCCCAGGGCCTAAACCCATCTCTTATGGTCATTTGTGTTCCTTGGCGTCCACGACAAAGAAGGTGGAATTTTATGAGATCATAGCCGCTCCTTCCTCGCCATCTCCAGACCCTGCCACAGCTCCTCTTCTGCCCAAGGATCTGCCGCCCGTTATCCAGGAGGTGCTCTCGGCCCACCAGGAGGTTTTTGGGGTATCTACTGGCCTCCCACCACCCCGCGCATGGGATCATCGCATCCATCTGATCGAGGGCAGCCGGACCGTCAACGTCCGTCCCTATCGATATCCCTACTTTCAGAAAGCCGAAATTGAACGCCAAGTGCGGGAGATGTTGGAGCACGGTCTCATTCGGCATAGTCAAAGCCCTTTTTCTTCACCCGTTTTACTTGTCCGCAAGAAGGATGGTACGTTTCGTTTTTGTGTGGATTACCGCGCCCTCAATGCCGCCACCATACCCGATCATTTCCCGATTCCAACCGCAGACGAACTTTTTGATGAACTGGGCCAGGCGGAGGTGTTCACTAAATTGGATCTTCGCTCGGGGTACCATCAAATCCGGATGCATGACTCGGATATCTTTAAGACGGCCTTCCGTACCCATGAAGGCCACTATGAATTTTTGGTTATGCCCTTTGGTTTGACAAATGCTCCATCGACTTTTCAGGCGGCTATGAACCAACTCTTCTGCATGCATTTGCGCAAGTTTGTGATTGTCTTCTTCGACGATATATTGGTCTATAGCCCGACTCTCACGGATCATGCGAAACATCTACGTACTGTGTTAGCCACTCTTCAGGAGAACCACTTCTTTGTAAAATTGAGTAAATGTTCCTTCTGTCAGAAGACTATTGGGTATCTGGGCCATCTCATTACCGGTGGTACACTCAAGCCAGACCCCGAGAAGATCGCCGCAATGACCGCCTGGCCGCTACCTTCTACCGCGACCCAGCTTCGTGGGTTTCTCGGCCTCACTGGATACTATCGGCGATTCGTGGCCGGGTATGCTATTATAGCCGCGCCATTAACCGATTTATTGAAGAAGGATAGTTTCCTATGGTCTCCTGCAGCAACTACCAGCTTCGAACGCCTCAAAGAGGCCATGACTACAGCCCCGTTTTGCGGCTTCCGGATTTTCGTCAAACTTTTTATTTGGAGACCGATGCTTCGGACACAGGAATTGGCGCCGTATTATTGCAACAGGGTCATCCCGTGGCGTTCTTTAGCAAAAAACTCAGACCGCGGCGTCGGGCGGCGTCCACTTATCACAAGGAACTTTATGCCATCGTCGAAGCTATTCAAAAATGGCGTCAATACCTACTGGGCCGGGAGTTCGTTATTCGGAGTGACCAACGCAGTTTGAAGGAGCTCTTACAGCAGGTCATACAAACCCCAGATCAACAATTTTACATTCGAAAACTGATGGGATACAAATTTCGAATTGAGTACAAGCGGGGGTCGTCCAACCGGGCTGCGGATGCACTGTCTCGCCGGGAAGAGGAGCGGGATACAGCCATGTTCCACTCCTTGAGCGTGCAAGCCGTACCACTACTCATGGATGAACTTCGGAAGGAGAATGATACACTACCTGACCTAAGGGACCTGCATGCGGCTATTGGTAACGGTACGGCTCCTCCCGACATTAGTTCAAATTCCGGCATCCTTTATTATAAGCGGCGTCTGTATATCAGCCCCTCTTCATCCTTGAGAAATCAGATTTTGCATGAATTTCATGGTACTCCAGTGGCGGGTCATCAGGGGGTTGATCGAACCTTCCGCCGTATTGCCGATGTCTTTTACTGGCCGGGTCTCCGACGCGAGGTGCGCGCCTTTGTGGCATCGTGTCCTGCATGTCAGGCCACTAAGTATTCCACCCGCAAGCCCGCGGGACTGCTGCAGCCTCTACCCATTCCGGAGCGGGTATGGGACTCTGCTTCCATGGATTTCGTAACGGGTCTTCCCCCGTCTCGCGGCTTCTCGGCTATCATGGTTGTGGTTGACAGGCT